TCCGACTCCTGAGTGCTGGTCTTACAAATGTGTGCTACCATGCCCCTCTTGAACTTGGCATTTTCATAGTCATGAAAATGGTGTGGTTATATACAAAAAAAAAAATTTCCCAGGAAACACATATTGAGCCATCAGGGGTGAACTGCTGTGAGGTCTGTATATTCCCCAGTAATGGCCAGGTAGGTGCCACTGCATCATATTTCAACTTTTCATGACTTTGAATTACTTTACAATAAAAAGTTGAACACGTGAACCCGAAGCCCATGTTGTCCACAAGGAATTCTGTTTGCGAGTGTGTGCGGCCCCTTGCCTGTGGCTGGAACACACCAGCACCTGGCAGGGCAGCCTTGGGGGTCACGGTGAGAGGTCAGAGATGTGGTGGCCTCTTCCACCCAGAATTAATGCCCAAACCTGGTATTTCACTAACTGCTAACTGGAGCTAAATACAGACTACAACAAGAACCTACCTATTACCCACCCAGGCGAACGAACCTACAGGATACAGGACACCGAGGGCTTTGAGCATGTTCCTCATTGGCCTGGAAAGAGCCCTGCAGGGGAGGGGAGAGGAGAGGAGAGGATGGCTCAGCACCTTGAGTCCCCCTCATCTGCTTTAAGAAAGGTAGAACAAGAGGGAATGCTCACAGCAGACCCGCAGGACGGCGGGCCCTCTCCGCGGCTGGCTGCTGGGCCAGCCGGCTGGGCACACAGCACCTCCCGGCAGCTGCGCGATGCTGCACCGCCCACATCCTCTCTAGGCCTGCTCTTCTCCAGTCACTTATACAACCCTGCCATGGCCACGCTCCTCCGTAAACTGTGAAGTGCTGTGACACAGAATGAGGATCCCAGTTCCTCCTTTCAATGTCAGCACAGCATGGGCTGTGCTGTGCTGAAAGGAGCGGAATGGCCACCAGGAACTCCCACATCTCCCAAGCTCCGGCCCTTCTCTTGACCAAGCACTTGCACTATGACTGAACTGATTTCTTTGTTTTGGTTTCTGAGACAGAGTCTCACTATGCAGTCCAGGCTGGCCTTGACTCACTATGTAGCCCAGCCTGACCTCAAACTTTCAGCAATCCTCCTGCCTCAGTCTCCTGAGTGGTGGGATTACCAGTGTGTGCTGCCATGCCTGGCTCTGATATTTTTCTTTAAACTCACTGACTTTTCTTCTGAAAACAAGGTCTGGACCTAAGCTAATCAACATCTATAAAATTGCAGATGTGAGGTGCTAATTATTTTCTTTAATACACATTACATTTAACGTATGCACATTAAATTTGTAAATATTCCCCCAGGGGTCATCTCCATTGTCTTGCAGACCACCAGGAGCAAGCAGATGGAGACTGATGTGGTAGAACACCCCCACTCCCTGCTTATTTTGCAGAAGGGAATCCGAGGTCCAGAGAGAGGTGGTCACTCCCACGAGGTCACACAGCAAATTAGCCATCGGTCAGCAGCTGTGACCCTGTTCTCCCAGCTCCCACGCCGGTGCTTTGCACTGCAAGCCACCCTCCCTCATCAGGAACAAGAGTTCTCACGCCCTGGCACATCCTTCCAAGAGACAGAAAAATAATAAAGTTTTTTTCAGAAGGACAGTGGCGCCAGCTCAGAGAGCCAAAAGGGACCTGGACCAGGAGACTTCTGACACTTGCGGTCTGCTTGCTTCCTCCTTTCCTGCACTTATCAGCACTCAGACCTCTTTTCTGCGAAAGCCTTGGCCCCTGCCCTGTGGAGCTGGCACCCTTGCTTCTCCAGGATCCTAGATGCCAAGGAGATGTTTGATGAGTGACTGAACAACCACATCAATAAGCAAACAACCTAATCCCAAAGAGTCTGCCTCTAAGAGAGAAGCTCTCCCATGGAACAAACCCCTCCACCTCCAGCATGCATTAACAAGTCATTCACCCTCTCTGCCTCTTTCGTTACAATAACAGGGAGTAACGGAGCCATCTTACACAGCTGCAAGGAAGGCTAGAAAACAACTCCTCCAGGAGCTCACCAGAGCCACAGGAAGGGGCCGCTTGTTGTCAGCTTCACAAAGACAACAGGGAGGGTGCAGGGCACAGCCAGATAGAGGGCAGCAAGGGGGCGTGGTCTGGCTGAACAGTCAAATTCCATTTCCGATGAGGCCTCAGCACACAGGCGGCATCAGTGGAGAAGGAAGACAGCAACAGACCAAACAGGTCCCAGCACATCTCGGGGTCTGTGGGGCCCTGCTCAACTCCTGCCCTGTCTTGTGTCCACTCTGAATGTAAGTCCACCCCTCCCTGCCTCGGGGTGGAATCGAGTGGCCACTGCCAGCCCTGTGGGAGCCCTGAGCCCAACACTGACTGAGTGTCCCCCCAGAGCCTCCTGCAGCTGCTGACCCGGCCCATCTGCCCACCCCGCCCGGGTCACCTAAGTCTACAGCTGCTGGGACTCTGACTGCCAGCTTCTCAAGGGACAGGGCCAGAGCTGTCCATCACAGGGCCCAGCAACAGTAGCTGCCCAGGGCAACCCACTTTCTGGATCCCCTCCTGTCTCTCTCAGGAGCTGTCTCTCTCAATAAAATTTCCTACTCTTTAAAAAAATGAAACAAAACACAGTAGCTGCCCAGGTCAGAGGCTGCGAGCAACTAAGCAGAGGCTTGAGCTGGGTTCCCACTACCTGAGCTTGGACCCTGCTGGGAACATTCTTCCCCTTCTACGAGAAGTTACGCATCAGGCTCTGTCACCAGGCAGTGTGGACAACAACCCCAGCCCAACTGGAAAGGATGTTGTCGGAGGACACCAATGAGGGTGCCCACTGGCTGCAATCTTAGAGCGAGGGGCACTTGCTGTGAGGCCTAGAGCCCGGGTCCTGCCCTCTGCAAGGCAGGGGCAGACCAGATGCCCACCCCAGCCGGCTGTTCAGTCCCTCTACGAGTCCAGGCCACATCCTATTTGCCCCATGACAGGCTACCACTGCTGCTGCAAAGGGAACCTGATCGTTTACAACCCTGAATGGCAAGCAGTTTGGTTTAACTGCTTTTTAGGAAGTCCTTTCTGGGAGCTGCGTTTCCTTCCCATGTGTACCTCCTTTCACCTGTATTCCTTGAAGAGTGCAAGCCTCTACAAACCTACTGTACCGCCCCGCCCAGGACCCGGCTTCAAATGCGTGTGGGGGCAGGGCTACTGGTTGTGGGCGGGGCCAGTGGGCCTGCGTGGGCGGGGCTACCGTGGCGGGGATCTGGGTGTGCTGCGGCCATGGGTGGGGCTACGAGCTCACTCCGGCCAGCCTCGCTCCTCCCCCAGTTCTTTCCTTCTCAACTTGGCCCTCTCTCTACTCAAGGCAAAAGAATGTTTGTGGCCCTGCTCCACTGCCCCCTCCCCACAGTGAGGTGAAGCAGAAAGGGCTCATTTTAGGTTCCCAGGGTTGCCTCGGTAGTTTAAAACAACAGCTTTATTCTTTCTCTCTTCTTTTCTTTTTGGTTTTTTGGGAACAAATTCCTGCTATGTAGCCCAGGCTGGCCTTGAATTCACAGCAATCCTCCTGCTTCCGCCTCAGGAATGGTGGGATTACAGATGTGTGCCACCACACCCGGCTCAAGACACTTTTTCCAATAAGGTCACATTACATGTTCTGGGACCTGGGCACACTTTTTGGTGGGGCCACCGTTCAACCCACTAGAGAGCTTAGCAGCCGGCCAGAAGTCAAGCCCTCGACCTTCCAATAACCAGCTATTGACTCAGCAACATTACCCGTTCATCCCACCTGCCTGGCACTCTCTCCTGGCCTGGAAAGTGGGAGTAGACCACCCCCTTGCCGCACCTCTCCTGGGGGTGAGACCTGCAGGTGTAGGTAGAAACAGGATCACAGATCACCCCTACAGTTTGCACTCAAGTATGAGTCTAATACAAAATTTGCAAATTACAAACTGCAGAAACATTGCTTTCAGGGCAGAAGGGGTATTTTAAGACAACCAAAACGAAAGCAAAATTTTAGAAGCCACAGACTCTCCTCCCTCCTCCAAGATACAACCAGGTCCCCTGGAAAAGAAGCCCAGTGTCCGAGTCCCCCACACCCCCAGGCTGGGGAAGGCTGTAGGTCTCCACACTGCCCCAGCCTTTCCCCATCCAGACCGAGTCCCCAGCTCCTCCTGCACCCTGCTGCTACACCCTGGCTGTATTCTCTCCCATTCTGGGACTCTTCCAATCGTGTACACAAAATATCCGCAGCCCAGAGATACCGCCCAGATCGTAACAGGTGGGAAAGCCTCTGCACAGCACAGTACTCGGGATGCGGCTGCACACGCAGTCGGCTTGGAAAGCCGCCAGTCCAGTCCAAGATCCCTCGAATGTGGCACCAGAAGCTTCGGTTTCCTTGCCAGCTGCACATGAATGTCACCTGGCCAAGCTGAACAATGGGTGGTGCTGCTGCACCCAACCCACTCTATCAGCTGCGCTGAGGGTGGGGTGTGGACCTCTGTGCTTGTGAAACCCGCCCAGCAGAGGCCACCTCCAGCCTCCACCGGCCTGGAAGCACTGTCTTCTGACCTCAGGAAGTGACCTTGTCTCAGGATCTGGTCTCCCACCGCACCCAGCACCCGGAAAACTGGTCCTAGGCTGGGGGCTGGTGTCGGCCCACTGCCAGCCGCACTGTTACCACCCCTGCCCCCATCATCATGGCTAGCATGTGCACGTTTAGAAATAAGAATGACAGCCCGGTGTGGTGGCACTTGCCTGTTATTCCAGCACTCAGGAGGCTGAAGCAGGAGGATTGCTATGAGTTTGAGGCCAGCCTGAGCCGCAGAGTGAGTTCAAGGCCCGCCTGAACTACACTGTCTCAAAAAAGAAATAGCAATCACAGAGTTACTGGATTACAATGATTAATGATTTCGTGCTCGCTTTGGCAGCACATATACAATGATTAATGATTTAATAAACAGCAATAATAGACTTAACAGAAGTAACCACCTGCCCACAGTTATCGGTCTCCATGCTACGCCTTGACACAGCAGGAGAGCCCGGGCACAGACCAACCTCTGTCAGGAGACAGGGGACAGCCTGGGGGCCCTGGGGCCATCTTGGGAGGGACTTCCAGCTGCCCTGGGGTGTGGTGGTTCCAGCTCTCCCTGGGCAGGGCAGGAAGCAATCATGAGGGATCTGCACAATGAAAAACAAAACAACAAGCCTAGACTCAGTCAAAGCTGTTTCCTTCCGCTTGTCAGGCAAATATTTGCTTCCCTAAAGGGCAAGATGCAAACACCTCCCTAGGCAAGAAAGTCCCTTTTGAGAAAAATTCATGAATAAGACAGGCACTGTTTTGGCAGGTAATGGTTCTTGTCTCAGGGACAGATGCACATGATGGCCTCGAAGAAGTCATTTCCCCTCTCAGGGCCTCAGTCTCCGCGTCTGTAACGTGGACAGCAGCTGTCCTACCCAGCCCGCAGGGCTGTTTCAAGGATCCAGAGAGGTGAAGGAAGTGTGACGAGAGGGCAGCGGCAGTGAAAACACTCTGCTGAAGGTGCAGGAGGCCCCACCCCAGCTGCCCCTCCACAGGACACAAGGGCTGTCCCCTTTCCAAAGACAAGGCCTGAGCCTGGGGCACTGGCAGCCACCTGTCTGGCACCCTGGCTCAGGCAGCCCTGCCCCTGGGCTCGCAGAAGTGCTCCTCCTGCCCCGCTTTCTGGGCGCCAGGCCCAGCTCTTGGCACCTTGAGACAGCCTCTCCAGACAACCCGCCCAGCCCTGTGTGCCCAGAAGGGGTCTCACCACAGCTCATGTGTCTACCTCCCCGAGTGACACAAAGTGCCCCAAACATGGCTCCATCCTCCCCAGGCACGGGGTGTAGAGCACGCCTGTCTCTCATCTGCCAGGAGCCTCCCACAGCTTCTTCAGTATCCACAGCTGAGGGTCCAGGAGGCTCAGAGAGGTGAACCTTACTGAAGGCCATAGAGAAGATCTGGCACTAAATCTAGGTCTCCAGATGGCTCTGCCACCAGTCTTGACAATTAAAACAATATTCTCTATCACTCAGATCCCAAACTCCCCTACAACCAGGCTCTGCCGCACTTTACACTCACATCCTGGCCCCTCTTAGGCTTCTTTGCTTATGTACCTGCCTCAGGGCTTTTGCACTTACTGCATTCTCCTCCTGAGATGTCCTCTGCAGGCCTTTTTTTTAGAGCTAGCTCCTTCATACTCTGAGCTTTAGCTGAAACATCAGCTTCTAGGCTGAGGCAGGAAGATCACTTCAAGTTCAAGGCCAGCCTGGGCTATAGAGTGAGTTCATGGACAGCCTGAACTACAGAGCAAGACCTTGTCTCAAAAAAACAAAGTTGGGAGGGCCTCCTAATTAAGCCCTTCCTTAACCTCACCATCTAAAGCAGGAACTCCAAACCCTCCACTTGCTCCCCACTCCCTCCTAAGCAATGGTGTTTGTTTACCAGTCTTCCTGGGAACCTGTCTTGTTCAGAGTTGTTTCCTGCACCTTTCACAGGGCCTGGCATCCAAAAGGTGTCCAATAACTATTTGGTGACTGAATGAATGAGCAACTGAACCATCCCCATCTCAAAAAGAACAGCCAGTCTCCACTGGGCCGTCCTGCCTCCCCTGAGACGTCTGCTCCAACCCTCTCTCAGCCAGAGCTCTCAGGAAAAGCTGTCCCAGTGCCCTCTGTCCTGCCTCACCCAGGTGACAGCTCTCCCAGCAGGTGGAGCCAGCTGGCACAGAAACAGCCAATCACTCCCTTATCTGGTTTCTCGGAGCCTCACCCCACAGTGGCCCCCGTGAGTCACTTCCAAGGAAAGAGGCTGGAGGGCAAGCAGTAGCTACACCTGCTCCTCTAGGAACCAAAAGCCACAAGCAGCGGGGCCCATCGTGGGCAGCAAAGAGAGTGGATTTGGTTTCTAACAGATTTTGGTTTCTAACAGATGGGCCCCCTGCGGGGCCCATCACAGGATAAGTTGACCTCCTGCTCCCTTCCAGGAAGATAAGGGGTCAGGCACTTATCTACACTTCGGGTGGGGGAGTGTATTCTACGGGGCTGCACCCACCTTATTTGCTCTTCTGTAAAACTGAGGGCTCTATAGCCCCCTGGCAAGCTGCTGTCCGTCTCTGTATCAAAGCCCTAGGCTGTGGGCTTCCACCAGCCCTGCAGCCACGGCTGAGCCTGGGCTTCTCCAGCGTGAAGACCAAAGCACTTCCCACTACAACTGCACTTTGAAGCACCTTCCTCACAAGAACCCAATAGACCAAGTATAATAAAAAGAATTGTAAGAAATAAAATCTTTCCATATATGTACAAAGAGACATCCAGGTGGATGTTACCAACCAGTAGTGGTGGTTCCTTCCTGTGGTAGAATCAAAGATTCTTTTATTGTCTTTACTATGCTTTCCTAAATTGCTTGAATTCTTTTTTAACCAGTTGCACATATTATTTTCACAAAAACAATAAGGCTCTTTTTCAAAAATAAAAATCTGTTAGAAACCAAATCCACTCTCTTTGCTGCCTGGTATGACCTAGCTTCACTAAAAGGCTGGGACCTGGCTCCTTTCAGAAAAGCCGGTTCCCACCCTCAGCCTGTGCTGGGAGGAAGAGCTGGATGGCTGGGAAGTCACCACACAGCCACCTAGGTTCCCATCTGCATCTGTCACTAATGGGATAGGGACTACCAGCCGCCCACCCCCAGGCTGTTTGCTTCTTGGTAAAATAAGGAGGCCTCAAGTACTGGGCACTGAATCCAGAGCCTTTGCATTGGGCTACATCCCCAGCTCTTTATTTCTATTTTTATTTTGAGAAAAAATCTCACTAAGCCAATAAGTTGCCCAGCCTGGGCTGGAATTTGCAATCCTCTTGCCTCAGCCTCTCAGAGTGCTTGGATTCCTGATGCCCACCTTCCTTGGGGCATCTTTAAGGGCCCTTCTCATTCTCTGTCTATGGCTCCTAAGTACCTAGTGTGGAGAGGAAGGCAGAAGAATGGCTAACCCATAAAGAGTGGAGTGTCTGTGAGCCTTGAGTGTTGGCCAGTGCCAGGCACTTCGCTGAGCTCCTTATTAATCCATTTAACCTTCTAAGCAACTTGCGGGCACGCCCTAATATCCATTCCAAAGATAAGGCAAGGGCGGCACATGGGAGCCAATGCTGAGTCACTTAGCCTCTGAGGGCTACAGTTGAGATTTAAGGCCGGGTACCTTGGTACAGAGTCCACACTCTAACCATTAAACTACACAGAAATACAAAGATGCAAAAGCCAAGCTCTGATAACCAGGTCCCTCCTTGGAGAAGAAAAGAGAGAGTTCATATTTCTCTGGCATTCATTACCTCCCCCACCCCCACTAAGCAGGCTAGTCAACATCCCCCGCCCTGACTCCCTTTTCCACTGGGAACCCTTCCCCTTTGGCACAGTGTGGACTCCATGCTTTCTAAAGAGCTACTGGCTGTGAGATCAGCCCAGCCCACTGTGCAAATTCAAGGCCCCCTCAAACCTGACCACACAGCTGGTCACACTCCCGGCTCAGCTTCTGCTGCAGGCTGGATCCCTCAGGCAACAGGCCCTACCTGAGTATCCATGTGCCTAGCCCCAAGCCCAGCAATCAGAAAAACACAAATGAGCTGCACCGTGACCTCCAGGAGCACACAGTCCAGCAGGAAAACATAGCTATGTAAATGGATCTCTAGGATACCCTGGGCAGTGCTAAAATTAGAGGTGTGTGCCCTGCAGTGTGAGGACACCTGTGTCAGAATGCTTCGTCCACTGGTGAGAAGAAGAGGCACTGAGCCATTCTGTGTGGAGACAGCTCAGGGATGAGCAGGAAGGAGCCAGCAGTGAGGAGAGCGGGGAGCCCAAGCCGGGCTGCTGAGTGGCCTGAATGGTACTTATTTTATTCCTACTCACTGGCAGACTGCACTTTCCCTTGTTCAACTCCCCGCTGACCCTCTGATGACATGAAGGAGTCTGTCTTGGTGCCAGGTTGTCTCTAAGCAGAAAGTGGGTACTGGGGTCATCAATCTGCACCCATATCTCAATAGGATTCCTAAACACTGTCTCATCTTCCCTGCACTGTATTACTTTAATGGTTATCTGCTGTCTATGATTAGAGGTACTGGCTTCCCATTGGTAGTAGTGATAGAACCCTACTACTACTTTTAAAAATCACTCTTGGGGGCTGGGAATTTAGCTCAGCAGCACAGCGCCTGCCCGGCAAGTGCAAGGGCGTGAGTCTGATTCCTGGTACTGGAAAACGATCACTCTATCTCTTCTTTGGCTCTGCCTATGGAGGTCGCAGCCATCTCTGACTTGGCACCATGGCAGCCCTCAGATCCTTTGTGAAGCCCAAGATCGTCAAAAACAGGACCGAGAAGTTTTTCTGGCACCAGTCGGACACATACGTCAAAATTAAGTGCAACTGATGGAAACCCAGAAGCATCGACAACAGGGTGCGGAGAAGGTTCAAGGCCAGATCTTGATGCCCAACACAGGTTATGGAAGCAACAAGACAAAGCACATGCTGTCCAGTGGCTTCCGGAAGTCCCTGGTGCACAACGTTAAGGAGCTGGAGGTGCTGCTGATACGCAACCAGTCTGACTGAGCAGAGACTGCTCACAGTGTCTCCTCTAAGAACCACAAGGCCATCATGGAAAGAGCAGCCCAGCTAGCCATCCGAGTCACCAACCCCAACGCCAGGCTGCGCAGCGAGGGAAACAAGTAGACGGCTCGTGCGCCTGTTCCTTTGTGCTTAAATAAAACCACAAAACTGCAACAAATAAATAAATAAAAATCCCTCTAAATTTGAGAATTAAGTCAGTTTAAGAAATATGTTAAACTGGCCAGGCATGGTGATGTATGCCTGTAATCCCAGCACTCAGGAGCCTGAGGCAAGAGGATCACTGCATGTTTGAGGCCAGTCTGGGCTACACAGTGAGACCCTGTCTTGAAAGAAAGAAAGAAAGAAAGAAAGAAAGAAAGAAAGAAAGAAAGAAAGAAAGAAAGAAAGAAAGAAAGAAAGGAAGGAAGGAAGGAAGGAAGAAAGAAAGAAAGGAAAAGGAAAGAAAATAAATAACAGTACACATTATAACATGTATTGCTTCTATATGTGATTTAACATCAAAACTTTAGAACTGAGAATGTAGCTCAGTGGCAGAACATGTGCCTAACATACATGAGGCCCTGGGTTCAATCCCCAGCACTACAAAATAAGGTTAAAAATGTCTACGCAAAAACAAGCAACAGTATTCTATGCTGCTAGATGTTCCAGTGACATTGTCCCTACTGGGAATGGGCAGGGTCTGAAAAGTTCAGAAGGGGACTTTCAGCTTCCACTGTCCATTGCACTGGGTGACCTGGGGGCTTCTGAAAACTCACAGAGCCATACGTGCCTATGTTAGGTGTATTCCTGTATTATGTTATATATTGATACGGCCTTTAACCCAACAATTCCACCCCTACAACTTACCTACAGACATACACATATAAGGAAAATGACAAAAAGAAACCCACCCACCGTATCACCTGCAGTAGTAAAAGATCAGAAACAACTTCAGAATTTCCCAGCTGGAGCTGGATTAAATAAATTTTGCCATAGTCTAGAATGAAGTCTGAATCAAGTCTGAAGTCTGAATCAAACAAGATGAGGCAGGCATAGTCTAGAATTAAATAAAATTTGGCACAGTCTGGGATGAAATCTACATAGTCATCAAACCAGATGAGGCAGCTCCATATTTTACAAGGATTTAAGTTTAAGTGAAAAGGGGGTTAGACATATGTGTGTACAGTGTGCTATGTTAAGTGAAAAAAAAATGCACACTCTAAATACATGTTTGTGCCGAGGGCATCCTTGGCCTAGATTATCTCAGGAAAGGATCACAAGAAATTGTAACAGAAGTTAGAGATGAAAGCGTTAACACCCTGGGCTTATAAAGCAAGTAACTCCTGCCCCTACCCGTCCTCTCGCCTTCGTACTGTATAACACGGAGAGAAAGGGCTTACCTGTAAACGGTTTCCAATTAACAGCAACCTGGTCCAGAACAAATTACTTAACTCACACAGCACCTCTGCCCTGCAGCCAAACCATGGCACCTGGAGCTACCCTGGCAGAGTTGACTGAGTTCCTGGCATGGATAGGGAGATGTTGAAAAGAAATGCTCCCAGGGATGGGACCTGCTCTGCCCCAAAAGAAGCAAAGCAAGGGCCAAGAGCCGGTTTTCTCTGGGGGCTGCAAAAGACAGTGACAGCACAAGGCTTTGAAAATTCGAGTTTGATTGTATCTAACTGCAGAATTCACCTGTGCATAAAACTCTTCTCATTATCGGGTAATCAGGACAACTAATTTGAAGACAACAATATGCAATATAATAACCATTGCTATATTCCTACCATCTTGTTTAATGAAGCTCTGTATTGTTTCTAATGTTTTTTCTTACTTGTTATTGTCTTTAATTGTTTGATCAATCTTGCATTCTTACATCTGGTAATCTGAGCAACTTTGTTGAATATAACAATATGTAATATAACAACCATTGTTAATTCCGATCACTTTGTTTTGAAATGCTATATTGTTTTTATTGTTTTTGTATTTTATTTTGTTTTTGTCTTCATTGCTGTTATTTTGTTATTTTTTTCTCTTTAAAATAAAAAAAACAAAAACAAAAACCTCACTCATTCTCTTGCCATGTCATTAACCCTAAAAACACATGGGTGAGGGTGCCTGACAGGGTATTGCTTCTTGCAGATGAGGAAATGGAGGTGAGGAGAAGTGAGGAGACCAGCCAGCATTACACCCAAAAGGAAGCAGGGAAACCTAAAATGAAATCCCTGCCTTCCCACTCAGTAGCCTTGGCCTTTGCTTTCAACTCTGACCCCTGAGAAGAGACATCACAGGCCAGACAGGGCAGGCAAAGAATCCCTGGGGACTAAAGGGACCAATGAGATCCTCTAGTGCAGCTTTCAATCCTGCCTGCACACTAGAATTACCTGAGGAGCTTAAGTAAATTTGGATGAATATTTATGCTAAGGCACAAGAGTCTGTAGTGTTTTTTAAAACTCTCTGGTTCTGATGTAAGTTTCCATGAGAAGCACTGAATTACAGCTCCCAGCACCCATCCCAGTCCCATATACAGCGCAACTGTTGGCCTCCCTACAACCTCCACCACGGGTCCCTGCCATCCTCCAGCCCCCACATCTACTGCTCATCTCTCTTCCACGTTACCGGAGGCAGAGAATTGGACTGGAAGCTCACTAGTCTTCTAGGTAGGTAAGGAACCTAACAGTTCTGAGGCCCAAAATAGAGACACGACTTGACTAAGATAACCCTGTGGATCAGTAAGAGAGCAGGACTGGAATCAGTATTTCCTGACCACCAGCCAGGGTCACTCCTACACAGGGATCCATCAGAAGCAGTCCCTTGGGAAACTTGGCCACTCCAGGTACCAGAAGAGATCCATCAAGGGACAAAGGAGGAAACCAGGACAGAGTGTGTGTGTCTCAGGGGACACAGGGTATCAGTGACAATGTAGGAGCCTCTGGAAGTCCTCCCTTTTGGCACACTGGGCACAGAGGGCTACTCCTGAGGGCCAGGGGTGGGGCTGGCCTGCAGAAAGATGTCCTCATTCCTGTACTAAGGTCGGAGAGTCTAAAATGCCCTTACAGAAACCCAGTCTCTTGGGGCAGCTTACACCATATGGGTCCAGATTCTCCCCCGCCCCATAGCACCAGCTCCAACTTCTTGAGGTCTTCATTGGTCCCTGTACTAAGCACTGCATGCAGCCTAATCATTCAACCTCTACTTGCACCCTGAAAAGTGAAAACAATTATTGTCTCTATTTGCAACTAAGAAAACTGTAGCCCAGAGACATGAAAGAACTTTCCCAAGATCACTCAGTGAGAAAGTGGCAGTCGCAGGATTGGAAGCCTGGTTCATTCAGGTCCAATTGCTAGCATCGCGTTCCTCAACCAAGGGGGAGAGAAGAGAACCCCGTTACAGCAGAAATCGTAACTGGACACCAAGAAGTGGCCAGAGACATGGTCTAGGGGAATCCTCCACCCTACGGAGAAAGCACGGGCGTCCTTCATCCACCCAAGAGGAAACCAAGACGCAGGGGGGGGCATCTTGCCCAGGGACATGGGCAAGTAGAGGAGCAGGCCGGGAACCAGGCAATCCCCAATCACAAAGCCAGGCCATTTCGCTGCTGGCTGGTGGGGAAGCAAACTCAGCAACAACTTGTAGGCCGGGAGGTGCGGACAACACCGTAATCACCGCCTGCCCCGCCCCCAACCTGCGCGCAGGGACCAAACCCCTCGCCAGGTGCACACAGGTGAGCTACGTGGCACTCGGAGGGCACCAGACTCTTAACCCTCCCGACGAGACAGGTGAAAACTGAGCAGATCAGGGACCCGGGGAGCCGGAGAAGCGCCCCGCGCCCTCCAGAGAGCGGCTAAGTCTGAACCAGCCCCGAGCGCGGCGTGGGGGCGATCGAGGGACCATATCCCACTCCGCAACCGCGTGCTCAGGCCTTACTGGGGCCACTCACCCAGAACACTGTGGAGTAGATGATGAGCGAAAACTTGAGCCAGAGGTAGGAGAAGCGCGCGCAGTAGCGCACCTGCTCCGAGTCCCCGCGGGGCACCCTGGCTCGAGGCCCCATCTGCGGTCGCCCGCCGGTGCCCCGGCCCAGACTGACTCGGACGAGCAGCAATCACTGCCCCGCCCGGGAACCCGCAGCCCCGGCAGCCAATGGGAGCGAGGCGGCGGCACTGGCTCGGGGAGGGGCGGGGCCGGGATGGGCGGGGCTGCGGCTCCCGACTAGGAGGCTTCAGGGCTGGGTAGGGGGCGAGTTTTACGCGGCAGCGCTAGCTGAAACCCAAAAACCGCCTGCGCTCCGGGCGCGGAGGGAGGCTTGGGAGAGCGCGGAGCGGAGGTGCGCGGGAAAAGAGCGCGTGCCTGATTCGGGTACTAGTTTTTAGCGGGGCTAAGGCGGTAGCTCGGTGGTGCAGCGCTTGCCTAAGACCCTGGGCTCCACCCTCAGTGCGGGGTGGGGATGAAGAGAAAAAGAAAAAGGAGCAGGATTCCCATTGTTGTCAAAAGACTATGGGAAAGGGGCGGAATTAACCGCCCACGTACTAAAGGTGTAAATGAGTGTGCGAGACGTGAGTGGAATAACGAAATGGGGCTGCCAGCCTGAGGAGGGGCGGGTCTGCGTCCAGGAAGGTGTAGCTGTCCAGACGAGAGCCCAGCGGTCCCTAGGGAGCCTCAGTCTCCTCCTGGGACAAGTCTGCACTAGGCCTTCCCCCTACTGATCCTGGAAGTCCCCTTCTTGGACGCCTGGTCCAGCCCTGCCCCCAGGGCTTCTTCCACCCGAGAATCCCTCCCCCGCGCCCATCCTCAGTCCCTAGGGCAGCTCCCTGCTTTCCACTTAGCCGGTTGTGACCGAGGCTCTTCCGGCCTGGCCTCTCTTCTGCCTGGCATCAGAGGTGGCTGTGAGTCTGAGTTCCGCACTAGCTTGTCCCAGTTTCTCTCATTTCCCTGTCCTGGGGCCTAGCTGGGCTTGGGAGGCAGGCGGTCCATCTGTTGGTGGCATTCAGTAATGAAATGCATGGCCCAGAGGTCATGAGTCGGAACAGCGCTGGGAGGGGTTCCTGGCGGTAACTCTAGGAATGACAGTTCCTCCAGTCCCCTGTCCTGGGCTCCCAGTCCTCCTGCATAAGCACAGAGAGACAGGCTAGGTTAGCCCGGCCCCAGGCTCTGCACCAGGGAAAAACAGTGAGACTGGAGTGGGGACGGGGGCATGCCCTGCCAGTTAGGGCAAAATGGAAACTTTTCCTGGTACAGGAGGAGTGAGTCCTGCGAGGGTGGAGTAGCCAAGGGCAACCAAGGGCTGATGCAAATTGCCTTCAAGTGAATGAGGGTGAGCTAAGAACACAGTGTTGAAAGTTGTCATTTCTGTCCTTTGAGGAGGAAGACTAACGTAGAAGAGGCTAGAGCTCCTCTCCCTGCAGCTAGCATTACTCACACTGTTTGGGGTGCTGATTTCTGGCCCCACCCCGAGAAACCTGTAATCCTCTCCATCCCCCAGAGAGCTAATTTTTCCTGTATCCTCTCAGAATGGCTCCTAGCCTCCTTCCCCACCCTCTGAATTAGACTCCAGGCCCAGCTACCCATGTGCCCCCCACTGGGGTTTTCCTTCCTGTTGCCTTTTCTCTGGCCTTCCCATACCGCACCCCCCCCCCATGACATACAGCTTCTGAGCAACACCCAGGGAGCCTCTTGTAAGATGCCCTGAGGGCACAGGGTGCGTTGCCCCTGATGAGGGAGATCAGACTTTTCGGGGCTGGCACAGGGCTCCTTCATTGTACCTCTGCACCCACACTCGGCAACCCCAAATTCGAGGCACTCTCCTGAGCCACGTTTGCAAACACAGAGACCTCAAAAGAAATAGTTCTGTTTTCCGCTTTTCCCTTTGCCCACCAGCTTTGGACTGCTATCCATCACCTTTTTGTGGGATTGTTAGAATATGTGATATAGTGTCATATATGGCAGATTAGAATCGCCTGGTGATCTTTAACTGCATCTTGAGCCAAGTGTGGTGGCACATGCCTGTAATTTCACCACCCAGGAGGCTGAAGCAAAAGAATCACAAGCCCAACCTGAGCAATTTAGTGAGACCCTGTCTCAAAAAATTAAACCCAGATGTGGTAGCACACTCCAGCACTCAGGAGGCTGAGGCAGGAGGATCACCATGGGTTTGAGGTCAGCCTGGGCTACATAGTGAGTCCAAGGCCAACCTGAGTTACATAGTGAGACCTTGTCTCAAAAAACAAAAAACAAACAAAAAAAAAAATTAAAAAGGACTTGAGATGTAGCTCAGTGTGAAGTTCCTGGCTTCAGTCCTTAGTACCCTTAAAAAAATCCAAGCATGATGATATACACCTATAATCCCAGCACTCAAGAGGTTGAGGCAGGAGGCTTGCCATGAGTTCAAGGACAGCCTGCGGTACATAGTTCAAGGACAGTCTGAACTGTGAGATCCTGTCTCAAAAAACAGGCAACAAAATGTATCCTGGTATCCAAGTCTAATCCCAGTCCAGTTGGAATCTCACCAACAGAGACCTGAGAATCAGTATTAATTTTGTGTTCCCAGGTAATTTCTAAACTGCAGCCAGGATCAAATATTACTCTATACAGACAGTCATGAGAGTGAGGTAGTCCGTCAACATTTTATCAGAAAGCCACACCCCAGCGAGCTCATTTACTCAGCTCTCCACTGGTATGCTGAAAATTGTAAAACTAGCTGGGGGTGGGGAAAAGATATTAATGATTTCCATAGTGTAGATATTTCACCACCTAACTTCAGCTTACCAACTTGAGCTCTATGAACCTGAGAGTTCAGCTGAAACATGCACAGCCTTGTATGATCAGTATCCCAAACCTATCTGTGTCTCAATCCACCCCTACGCTTTACAGGTTAACACAATGAGTGCATTGGTGAAATCCTCTGTGTGTTAATTAGCATAACAGGTATTAGTAATGAGCTCTTCTTTGGCAAAATTAATAGTGTCCAAGGTACACAGACTGACTAAAATATAGTGTAGACACCACCTATTCCTTGTTCAGAGTAAAAGACTCTTGGGAAGAGGCTTGTTTCTACTTGGAGATGGTGCACAAGCTAAATCCACAAAGGCCTCTGCCCTTCGGATGTGACCAACAACTTCACTGAAACCTGCCTCTAGAACACTGTGTTTTCCTGCAGGGTGGAAGAGCTCCTAAGAGGTCAGAGAACTAGGCCTTCACTGATTTTACAGAGTAAAGTATACAAACCAGTTTTGTGGCTGAATGCTAATAAAAGTTTGTTTTTTGGCATTTTTATGGGTAGCAGAACGTGTTCTGAGATCTGTTGTTATGATAATTTGGCAGAGACATTTAGGAGAAAATAACCCTTGCCTTTAATGGCTACCATGGCTGATGGAAAATAATCTAAGGATCATGAATGGTAACTCCCTTGGGTACTTTTGCATTCATGCAGTCAAGCACATGACTCTCTGTGCCTCTATTTCCCCATAAAACAATGGGGCTGGACTCATTCTACTCCATCGTTGAGCATCTTAGCTATAATTTTCACAGCCAATAGGTCAGTTGGCAGAATACATTGTGCTTCTACTCTGAGTCAAGCCCTGCTCAGGCTCAGGGATACAGCTTCAAACAAGGTAGACAAGAGCTCCTATTCTATTCTATTAGGGCATCAGGGTTTAAGGACATGCAGCACAGGATACACACACATGACATGGGTGACTGTAGATCCTGGAGCACACTAAGGATCGGAGAGAAGGGCAGTTAGGTGGAAGAAGCAGCAAGTGCACAGGCCATGTGACCGGAAAGCCTGGGCGAGGTCCCTGCGGCTCCCACAAGGGGCCAGGAGGACCGCAGAAGGAGGCAAGCAGCAGACAGAGGGGGAAGCCTTGTAGCTTCAACAAAGAGGTTCGGCTTATTTCCAGTTTCAGTGTTAGGGTTTAAGCAGGGGAGTGAATCTGATTAGTGCCTGAGAAGAAGCAGGAGGGCTGAGGCTGAAACGGAGGAAGTCTGACTCGAAGGCTGGGGCACTGGTCCCAGTGCGAGGAGGCTTGGGCTTGGATAACGGTATGGCCTTGGAAACAGGGGAGGTGGTTGGGTCAAGGTAGCGGCTACAGGTAGAGCCGACAGGACTTTCAGGTGGACTGGATGTGAAACATGGAAAAAGAGAAATCTGCGGAGATCACAAGCTTTTTTTGCTTGAGCAAATAGGCATTTCTGTCATTTACAAAGGTGAGGAAGAGAAGGAAGACTGGTGAAGGAAGGACGAATCAAAAATCAATTACTCTGGGCATTTATCTGTGTATTTTTGCGGTGCTGAGGCTTGAAGCCTGGCAGGACCCCATGCATGCTGAGAAAGGGCTCTGCCACTGAACTACTTCCCCAACTCTATTTTATTTCTTGAGATTTTTTTTTTTAAACCTAGGTGGAGCTGTGTAGGGACCTCAGAGGTGAACTTCAGTTGGATGGTATAAATTGGAGAGTCATCAGGGAACCTTGGGCCTCTATAAGATCATCTCATGAAAGAGTAGAGCTAGCCGAGAGCCACAGATAGAGCCTGCGGACTTCTTATCCCACATCTGGAGAAAGAGGGGCCAGCAAAGAAGGAGGAGAAGGCTCAGCCAGCAAGGTGCCAGGCATGCTTGAAGAAGCTGGAAGAGAAGTAGAAGAGGATTCGGTGTCCTGGAAACTCCCCTTCGCACTCGAAGGCTTCTACTATCTCCTGAGAGAGCAGGTACAGGAGGAAAGAGAATCAACCACTGGATTTGCAAGATGTGGGTCTATGGTGACTTCATAAGAGCTATTTTAATGGAGCATTGGGGGATGCAGATTTACTAGGATAAACTGAGAGAGGCCAGATATGGTGACACAGGCTGTAATTCCAGAATGTGGGAGGCTGAGGCAGGAAGGTCACCATGAATTCAAGGCCAGCCTGGACTAGTGAGTTCAAGATCAACCTAAACTACATAGACCCTGTCTGAAAAAAAGAAAAGAATAGGTTGAGGAGAAGAAAGCTGAGAAATGCAGGAGATAAGTACAAATAACATAGGGCGGTCCACTTTGCATAACCCTAATCCAAAAATCCAAAATCCAAAATGTTGATCTCCAGCATGGTGTCACAAGTAGAAAATTACACAC